TGTTCACTAAGCTTACGATTAAATTTCATATTTGAAATCACCAAAGAAATCTGACAACAACTGTGTCATAAATGTTGTTACTTTTGCTCAAATAGCCTTATAAAAAGCTTATTTTTCAGGCTAGATCAGCCAGTGGCATGCGCAGTCCTAAGAGCACGTCTCAGAACGCTGACTGTTTCTATTCGGTTGTTAAGTGGTGACGTAAGAAGCGCTGTTTCCGGGTCCAAGCCTCAACTCACTTCACTTGAGAATACTACCGTCTCCATGCTCACAGCATCCCAAACAAATAATTTTTATATTTATTTATTTATTTTTATATTTTCATTGTCTGGCTATCTGGGATTTCGGTGTGGAGTTAAAGGTTAGGATTATAATGTTTTTGGTAGTATTATATCACATTGTGAGTGTATATTAGCACCTTTTGTTGTTTTCTCGTGGTATCTGGTAGAGTGTTTGGATACGGAAGCGGTGACACGTGACGTCAGACTTAACAAGCGTATAGCAACCGGGACTTCTAACGGCAGCTGCAGTGACACGCTGACTTTACCGATTAGTGATTGGCTCTTTCATTCAGAAGGCGGGGTTTCCTGCGATTGAGCGGCCATATTGAGAGTTGCCTATTTCCCCATTCAAAACCATAGGAGTGACATGTCTTGGGTATTCTATATGTGACCATAAGGCAAGATATTAAGATTTTATAAACATTAACATCATGATCTTCTGTAAATCTCCTTTGAAACAATATGTATTGTGATAGTGCTATATAAATTTTACTTGACTTGTTTTACTGTAAATTCAGTAAATATATCACTGTCATAATTACAGTAGATAGCTGTACATGTGCATTTGTTGCTGCCCTAAAGCAATCCGGCATTTTCCCGCTCTCCAAACCAGAACAAACATTCGGGGGGAGCGTGGAAGATAAAACAGAAACTATTCGCCTCATTAGAAGTCAGTGTACCTTCAGAATATTATGAAACTGATATTTCAAGGTAAAAAAAAAAACGTACAGTTGTTTCTATGCATTTACTGTGGTGTTTAGGTGGTTGCTAAGGTTCTCAAGGTGGTAAGGATTTTTGTGTGGATATTTTATCGTACAATACAAACAAATACAATTAGCCTACTTAGAAAGTAATTTTAACATTTTAACTTCCCTAAAAAAATGTGTTGATGTCTGAATTCTGGATAATCTTTCTTCTCACTACCAATTTACCAAAGTTTAAAGGGGTCATATGATGCGATTTCAATTTTTCCTTTCTCTTTGGAGTGTTACAAGCTCTACATAAAGAAGATCTGTAAAGTTGCAAAAGTGGTTAAGTTGTATTTACAACACTGTTCCAGAACAGTTTATTTTAACTGCATTTTATGGAGGACTGTTTCCTGATGCTGGTAGAGTAGACTACAATGCCGGCTGTTCTGACACACAGACTGTAAGTAAGTTTTTTATATTTAAAGGATTTGCCACTGACGATTCAAATGCGAGTTTTGAGCAGTGTAGAGTAGCGCTTGTTGTTTGTCATTTCTCCGATCACAAATGCAGACATGGTTTTATGTTTACGCGGCGTGATGCAATGCAATGCAACGCGTAAAAAGACAGTATAAGTCATTATAATCCATAATTATGTCCCCACTGGATGCAACAAATGCCTCGTTTATAATGGGTTTTAATGTTTTTGTCTCGTCGCTCCGGCCGGGACAAGGCATCACAATATGGTAAGGGGCATAACATTTCCGTCACACGCTTGAGGTATTCGGCCAATCACAACGCACTGGATAGCTGGCCAATCAGAGCACACCTCGCTTTTCAGACCGATGAGCTTTGTAAAAATCGACGCGTTTCAGAAAGGCAGGGCATAGAGGAGAAACAATAATGTACAGTATGTGGAAAATAATGTGTTTTTTTAACCTTAAACCGCATAAACACATTTCATTACACCAAATACACAAAATAATGTTCTTTTTAGCAACATCATATGACCCCTTTAATGTGGTGAGATCCCTAAGCCTGAGGATGAGTATAGTAGGTTAATGCTTCTCTCCGCAAACAGCACTAATAATCATAATTGTTCATTAACACGCATTTTGCCCTGATTGGTCAGAGAATGGGGAATGGATTATTAAGCACCGTCCTGCTAAGAAGGTCGTGAACAAGCGATACAGCCCAGATGATTTGGAGTACCAGGAGATCATCTTCTTCCTCATCATCCAGAGGAAACCGCTGTTCTACATCATCAATATCATTGTGCCCTGTGTCCTCTTCTCATCCCTTGGGCTGCTCGTCTACTTCCTGCCGGCCAAAGGTCAGGCTCCATAGCAAATGTTAGCAAATGTCACCGTGACTGATGTCCAATAGACTTGCCATTTCAGCAAGTTCTTACAAATGTAGAGGGATTTTTGTGTGGCTAGTAATGTCATCCAGAGCCATTGACCAGTAGGGACAATAGGAGAAACTTGTGAATAAATGTCTTTATCAATGAAAAACATGACCTAATTTGCATCAAGATAATCATAATGAAGTGAATTTGTAACTTTTGCAGTAAGACAATCAATTTAACCTAACCTGTCATTTAGTTATGAAATTAATCAGTTTCTGATCAGCATGTTTGTGATTAGTATGTTGAACTAATTGTTTGTTTATAATAGCTGGAGGACAGAAATGTACTATGACCATTGCGATCCTGCTCGGTCAGACTGTCTTCCTGTTCCTTATTGCCAAGAAAGTGCCAGAAACTTCCCAAGCTGTTCCTCTCATCGGAAAGTGAGACTGTGCTTTTGTTCACTCATTACATCATTTCAGCAGTTTCTGATACGACTTGTATTCAATGTGTGCAACATAAGATAAAACAGTTTACATACACTATTGTGTTTTCCAGCACACATTTTCTGGAACAATTTGTGCTCTTTTGCCAGGTATCTGATGTTTGTGATGTCGGTGACCACAATAACTGTAATGAACAGTGTGGTGGTGTTGAATGTTTCTTTGCGAACTCCAAACACACACCCCATGAGCAACACCATCAGAAAGGTACAACAGAATTATCTAACCGTTTTTCACTTTATGCTTTTTGTCCAATCCAAAATGACTTAATGAAAAGGTTATTATTATATAATCGCTTTTCTCTGCATTTTGGGGCTACTCAGGTCTTGTTGAACATCCTTCCTCGTCTGCTGAGGATGACGATGCAGCGCTGGACACCTGAGCAGGAGGAAGGGGATTTTAAAACGTTTGCCCTGGGCAACGGCACCCCGCTTCGCCGCAGGAGACGTAGCTCTTTGGGATTAATAGCAAAGGCTGATGAATACATGTTCAGAACAGCACGCTCAGAGCTGATGTTCAGTCGACTGAAGGAGAGAAAGGGGCTGCTGAAGAACACTTTAGAGAAAATACGTGAGTTAAACTTTAATTCACAAGTTTGTGGTTGGTAAGTTTTATTTCATTTATTTTGGAAAGAAATTAATACCTTTGTTCAGAAAGAATGCATTAAAATTAATTAAAAGTAAGAGAAAAGACATTTATAAGGTTGGAAAAGATTTTAAAACAAATATTTAAAATAAATGCTCTTCTTTTGCATTCTAAAATTTATATCACAATTTCCACAAATATATTAAGGATCACAATTGTTTTCAAAATTGAGAAAAAAAAAAGAGTTATGGCTGCTGAAAATTCAGATTTGCCATGACATATATATCTTAAAATATATTAAAATCAAAAACTGTGTTTTTTATTTTAAATTGTAAAAATATTTCAACATATTACTGTTATTTTTACTATACATTTTCACTTTTTTCTTTTTGATGCAGAATAAAAGACTTCTGTCAAAAATATTTTAAAAAAATTGTATATCCTTTAAATAATTCTAAATTTTAAATAAACCATAAATTATATATTTGAATATTATATTTTAATATTATATTTTTTAGATAATATTAATAAAAAATATATTATTAATTAAAATGTTTCATGTTAAATGCAACAAAAAAAAAATGTAATAAGCTGGTTTCTGGCCTTAAATGTACTCTTTTGTGGTCTGACCTCAGAAAATGGTCTGGGGGGGAACACAGCACAGGATCTGGAATCCAGTTTGGCTTCAGCTTCACCAGAAGTGCAGCAGTGTGTGTCTTCCTGTAAACACATTGCGGAAAGTGCCAAGCACCAAAATGACTTTCAAAGTGTGAGTGACTGTTCCAGAATTCTCCAAACATGAGGCTGAATGTGTCTGTATCATTTACACAAGAACAGTAGGTGTTTGTGTTAGGGTTCAACCTTCCAATCCCAGAAAAACTGCTGTTGACGTCTGAATTCCAGTCATCCTTTCTTCTCGCCCTGCAGGAAAATGAAGAATGGTTTCTGGTTGCCAAGGTGATTGACAGGATGTGCTTCATCGTCATGGCGCTGCTGTTTATACTGGGCACCATCGCAATCTTCCTGATGGGACATTTTAACCAGGCACCATCTCAGCCCTTCCCTGGAGACCCCAAAAAATACCTGCCTGAAATCACACCTGGAGACATCACAGGCTGAACGCAAGTGTAAAACTAAATGATAGCCTCAGAGAAACTCCAGCAGAAGTCTGGAGGACTTTGTTGAAGATGCTCTGTAGACAAAAAGCCATCAGATTGTTCATGCTATGGCAAAGGAGCGCTTAGCACTTCAATTTAGTAGTGCTACAGGCCAACAAAAGTGATCCAAGGTCTCCAGAGAAGAGAGTTGGTTGGATCTGAAGCCATTTGAGACTGGCTTAATTGAGATTTGATGAGATGTTGATGATTATGAAGGTCATGCTATTTGCTTGTCAATTTCTTTATCAGCTTTCATTCTGTGTGGTGATTCAACAGTTGATGCTTTCCTGAAAATAAAAACTTTAACCTTCTCTCACACATAAATGATGATCTTCTGCATGAAATCATGTGAATTGTTTCAGGTTAGGTAATGTCACTCCTCTACCCCCCACTAACTTGAGGAGGATCTATTATCTACTTTTCTGTGTGACAAAGACCAGATCCGGGAAGGAGAGAGCAGGGCAGGAGGGGGGTGTTCATTGTAGGAGTAGCATTACAACTACTAACACAGTATTTGAAGCTTGTCTGGAAGCTGTTTCTCAGTAAAGGAAACCCTTATCCCATCACTACTGCACCTGCCCAGCAGCTCCTAAAACCGCAGGACCTCAAATGGTAGGATATTATGTTCTTACACTGTTGTTGTTATTTAGCAGCTGAATTAGTATTGGATAAGGTGTTAAAGGGATAGTTCGCCCAAATATTCTGTCACTGTGTACTCACCCTCAAGTTGTTCCAAACTCTTCTGTTGATCACGAAAAAATATATTTTGAAGAATGTTGGTAAACAAACAGTTGCTAGTATCCATTGACTTCAATAGTAGTTTTTCCATATTATGCATTTGGTTACCAACATTCTTCAAAATGTCTTTCATGATCAACATGAACAAGAAACTGATACAAGTTTGGAATAACACACGAGGGTGAGAAAATGATGAAAGAATTTTCATTTCTGGTTAAATGATCCCTTTAAGGTCTAGCATAGTTATACAACACAAACACAATGATAACACAAACCTTTTCATTAAAAAATAATAAATAAATAAAAAATCCAGAGTGGAATGAAAAGAAAAGTAATTTGTCAATTATTATTATTTCCCCCCTTTTCTAAAAATTGTTGCTATTTTTTTCATGGCTTCCAAAAAAAAAATTTACAGCAAAAAAGAAATAAATTAATTAATTAAAATATTAGAATAAAAATGAACTTAATTAATTCATTTATTTTTTGATGTGTAGTAGTCTTAATCTTAATATATATTTTAAATAATTGGCATATGTAATAGTGTCTAAATAATGGTATTAAATAATATATAAATAATAATGCATACAAATAATTATTAAATAAATGTTCTTCTTAAGTACAGTTCAATCATTTGAATAATGTTTTTATTGATCATTTTCTGTATTCTTTTTATATTACTGTTCTCATTTTTATGGATATAATGCATAAATACATTGTTATATGAAATTCTGGTTATGAAAAGCTTTTCACAAAGGGACATGTATTTAAAAAACTTTATTACAGTCAAATTGAATACTCTTTGGTCTTATAGTGTATAAAATGATTCTTTGCCATTTTTGATCATGATATTACATGTACATTCACTCATATAGCAGACGCTTTTATATCGGAGTGGCTTACAAATGAGGAACATAAACAGTTTGCCAATAATATTCTAGAATCTAATAATTTACTAGATTTATCAGAAAGCTACAGTGGAATGGGAAGTGTTTTAGGAAACTCACATTTGGTCTGGTTGCATTCCTACCCCTCCCTATAACTTTTCACATTGAATATCCTGTTTTACATGAAAATACATTATATTATAGAAATAAAATGGGTTGCACATGTCAGTTTACACTGATTTTAGTGACATTTGACAAAAATGTACTTTGACTTTCATATGCCATGTTTTTACCTCCTGTGTTTTCTCTCTCCCAATCAGGCCTCCCCATCTGTGACCACTCAGCCTCTTCCGTTTGGTCTGGAAAGGGAGAAACATATTGACATGCTCTTCAGAGCTTTCCACAGGCAGATTAGACCTACTACAGACACGCAGGACCTCACTCCTGTGCTCCGGGATACAGGCAGAACAAGAGGACAGGATGGAGGACCTGGATGGAAAGAGACAGACAATGAAAGAGTGGGAAAACTGTCTGTTCTGAGAACAGTCACAAGACTTCATATTACTGCCAGACCAGAACTGCAAGGTGAATAAAACATCTATAAAATAAATGTAGATTAGACTATTTTTCATGAGGAACTTTTTTTTAATTAAAAATAACACCTTTAAAGTTGATGTTTAACAAAAATCATCACTCTCTTAACTTAGATAATTTAGAAGTTTCATCTGGTCTTGTTGAGACATATAGTTGAGTATCATCAGCATAACAATGGAAACTAATCCCGTATTTTCTAATAATATTACCAAGTGGCAACATGTATATTGAAAAAAGCAGAGGACTTAGGACAGATCCTTGTGGCACTCCATAATTTACTGGTGATAATTGAGATGACTCCCCATTTAAATAAACAAAGTGGTAGCGATCGGACAGGTAAGATCTAAACCATCTTAAAGCCTGCCCTCGAATACCCATATAGTTTTGTAATTGAACTTTGAGTATGTCATGATCTATAGTGTCGAACGCATCACTAAGATCAAGTAAAACTAGCAATGAGATGCAGCCTTGGTCTGACGCAAGAAGCAAGTCATTTGTAATTTTAACAAGTGCAGTTTCTGTGCTATGGTGGGGCCTGAAACCTGACTGAAATTCTTCATAGAGATCATTGATCTCTATAAAATTATATACTGTATTATAATAATTAAGATACTAATTATTATAATAGTCACACTACTCACACACTAATAATAATTATAATAATTAAGATAATGAAAATACACTACTGTTTAAAAGTTTGGGGTCAGGAATTTATTTATTAATTTTTTTTAAAAGAAATGAACATTTTTATTTAGCAAGGATGTCATATGTCAAAAGTGGCAGTAAAGACATTTATCATTTTTTAAAATAAATAAATTCTGTTCTTTTCTGTCCTTCAAATAATAATAATAGAAAAATATTTCCACAAAAGCATTAAGCAGCACAATAATTTTTAATATTGATAATAAGAAATGTTTCTTGAGCACCAAATCAGCATATTAAAATGGTTTTAAAAATTAATTAAATAATATTGTATATATTAATAATTTTTTAGTGTCACCTAATCTATAAATGAGTATTCAAAAATATTTACATCCCTGTTTTGATTTTTAAATTCATTTTATTTATGATTAGTGGAATAGCTTGAAGTTTGTTTGAGATACATTATATAATTTCATGTGTAAATACAAACATGTTTATTAAAGGTTTATACAGTATTTCTGTGATGCATCAGGTCCTCAGTGTGTAGCCCGCAGAACATACAGCATTTCCACAGAAAGCAGTGATCAGCTCTTTGTGGCTGTGGAAGGTAAATATAAGAGACAGGATGTGTGTCGTTCTGTAAATGGTCATATTGTGAAACAGTCTTTAAGATGATTGTACTATTACATTGTCAAAGCCACCAAAGCAGCCACATGTAAACTTTGAACACAACTGTGTCACAAAACCTCTTTTTGTGTTCCTGTCTCTGTTAGAGAGCTCATGCATGTGTATGCAGTGCTGCGGTCCAGCTCGATCCTGTTCACTACAAGGCTTTGATAAGGACGCAGAGTGCGTCTTTCTATTTGAGAGGCCCCTGAGAGCGGAGATGTGCTGGCTTGGCTGCTGCCTGATGGAAATAAGGGCCTATACACCAGAGAGAGAGCTGATTGGGACAGTTCACCAAAGGTAGAGATCAACAGCAAACCAGATCTCAGTCTCATGCAGCTAGAATATTAATCCACACTGCAAGAATCAGCCACTCAGACAGGAAACAGTCATCTGATTGACATGTAAAACAATTAACTGTGGTTTTACATTTAGGGAGTTTGAATATGCAAACATCCCAGTGTTATAAAAAAAATATCAGCACACTTGTCTGGGTCCCATGTTATTTTAGTATCAATTATAAATACAATATGATTATATTATATTTTTTTTATTTTAATTTTTATTTAGTTTTTAAAGTTTAGTTTATAGTTTTTAGGTTAGGTTTACTTACATTTTTAATTTTAATTTTAGCTAAAGCTTGTTGTGTGTTTTTGTCATTTTTATTAGTTTTTGTTTACCTGAAACATACGTAGAATTTTTTTTTTATTTCACTAAAAGAGAATTGTTGCTTAGGGAACTAGCTACAAAACAATACTCTCATAGTTTTTTAATATTTTGAAGTAGTTTTTTATAATTATTTTCTGTTTTCATTTTAATTTTAGTTAAATTTTTTTATTTTAATGATAAAATTTATGATTATAAATCATTTTTTTAAATGTCTAAATAGGTTTTATTTTTTTTATTTTGGTTTTAGTTTGAGTTATTTTAGTATATCAAGTTAAACTAAATAAACTAGAAATGTTGTCTTTTTTTAGTAATTAGTTTTAGTAATTTTTTTTTTTTTTCTTTTTTAAGTTTTTGTTTATTTGACTCTATATTTTTATTAGTTTTTTATTTCAGTTTTAGTTTTAGTTATTTTACTATATCAAGGTCATCTACATAAAAATGAGAACCTTGGAAACTAGCCAAAATTAAATGTTTATTTTTATTTTTATTTTATTTATTTGTTTGTTTGTTTATTTATTTTTCAGTATAACTTTTATTTTATTTCAAGGAACAACAATGTTAAAAAACGATGTTTTTTATTTTTTATTATTGAAAGTAAACAAAAAAACAAACAAACAATGTTTTTATGGTTTTAATTTTATTTAACTGCTGTTTAATAGCCCTGGTCCAATCAAATTATTTGACCGGATCTAACTGTTGCCTAATGGATGAAGTAATCTCCTGTACTGTAAATCTATTATGAAGACAGAGCCATCCACATCATGTTTCATCATGATGTTAACTATTCTGTCAGATAAGGTCACCATTGTGTATCTACTAACTGCACCAGACAAAAAAACCCTCCAGTAATCTCTCTCAGATTGAACAGGGAGAGATGTGGTGAACTTTCTGAGATGAAACCATTAACATGATCTCCTTCTCAGGACAGCCACGAACAAAGACCATGCCATGTTTGTTTGTTGTCACACACCGAGCCTTTCAGCATCAGGTCATATCAGGCTAAAATTTTATCAGTCACACACAAATGAACATTCTCTAGGCTCAGAGAAAACTCTTCTTATGCAATCTTCCTAAACCAAAAGAGTGTATGTATAAGCCCTGTGGCTGTTTATCAGGTGGAGCATGTTCACGCCGTATTTCGAGGTCTGTGACTCTGAGGGCATCTCGGCCGTGAGGATCCAGGGCTCCTGCTGCAACACTCGCTGCCTCTCTGAGCAGGAGCTGCAGGTCAGAAACCCTCCAGCAGGCCGTTTGTATCGCCCACCTTTTACATGCAGTTCTAATATACTCTGTTCTAATTATTCTCATGTATTGGGGGCATCAGCTGGTTTCCAGTATCGGTGAGAGTATTGGGCGCATATGGAAAAGGTGGCCTGGATATAATGAGGAATGTAACATGGATCATGAGTATTTTGGACTAGATGGTAAGAGTAATATACACGTTCATATCAAGTGGTCTACAACAACATAACAACAAGTGACCTATCTATATAAATTATTAAATAAAAATATTTTTAAAAAATATATATAATTTTTCAGCATTATTTAATAGAAAAGAAAGTTCAAAAGAAGTACATTAGAAATGCATTTTTGTAACATTCTACATTTTACCGTCACTTTTGATCAATTTAATAGTGATGTCCTGTGGCCGCAGATGTCCTGAAGTCATTCAAAACAAGGGCCTCTACACTTCCTAATTTATTCGGACAGTTGCAACCCTCCAAAATTTTTGTTCTAATCTTCTTTTGTGCTTCAGTGGTTACTGTTCTCTAATTTTGATCACTGTCTTCCACAAAATAAAGGTTTTTGTTTAAATGCCTTGGATATTTTGTCAAACGTTAATAGAACAGTGGTATACCTACAGTTAATATCATGAAGATTAACAATATTTCAGAAAAAAAAAAAAAAAATCAAGTATTTTACACAATCTACTACATGCCTTCTAGTTCATACATTTTTAGCAAGTAAAAGGCCTTTTAGTATCATTCTAAAAATATAAACCTTTATGTCATGGTGCACTAATTTTAGATTTACTGATTTTATTAAGCAAACATAAAAATAACTTTGATGTTGTTAGTAATATTTACTGGACTAAAGCAACTTAGGTTCACTTGATTATCCATACATAAGTTTTTTTTTTTTCTTTTTAATCATGTTAAAATGTATCAAATATGATACAACAAACTTTTGAGTAACATTCATTTGTTCATCTCTCAATCATCCACAAGGGCATGTTGTTGTTTTTCTTCTTGGAAAACAGTGGCAGTTCCCAGCCATTAGTTCATGTCACAGTGGCTGAACTATGTGGTCCCGCTGTGTCCCTCTGAGAGCTCCAGCTACCGACTCACTGGAAAACATTAATTCACATGTTGATGATTTGGTTTCTTCTTCTTCTTCTGTGAGAGTTTTCAGGTGATGTGGCGTTTGGATGATTATAAAAACAGAAGCCGTACGTCTTCAATAGTAAACATTTTTCACGTTGACCCTTTTTTATGACGTCGCGTTCGTTTTTCTTTTAAAAAAAGATCAATTCCTCAGAAACGTCATCTTCGGTGGGAAAAACATCTTGATAATCTAGATGGAGAAAAAAGGTAGTGCTTTTACCCAGTGATGAACATGCTGGGAATGAATCTAAATATCATAATGAGAACTGTGCAGCTTCAGTGTGAGTGATTATGTGTCAGTCTTGAGTTTATACCCGTCACACACTCTTCAGATGAAAAACTAGCGGCCTCCACTTGCGTTCACTAGACCATGGAAATCCTCCCAAGCCCTGGAAGATCACACACACAACATATGAATATTAATACTGTCAAATATATCAACACTACAAATAAAAACAATAAGAATGAGGGGGGGAAACTATACAATAAAGCACAATTCTATTCTCAAGTAAACTGATACACAATCTTCACATTAATAAATCAGGAGTTTTTTTAATAATCAGAATATTTGAATATTGTAAAATCTTTTTTTGTAATTGTATTTGTAATATTTCCTTCATTTAGCTGCAAAGCTGATGCACTTTATCTCACATCTAAAATCTAGGGGAAAAATATATTAAACATATTATAGAACTAAATATGTATAATCTGACAAAAACTTTTTTGAAATTATTTGACTCGTTTGATAAAAGTCGTATTACCTTCCATATAGTAAATGCTTGCATCTCGTGATCAAATACTGTATATGAATTTATGGATCATTTTTCTAGTTTAAGAAGACAGTACAACTTCTGACACATTTCCCCCCACTCTCCCCTATATAACTCTATATTAATTGTAACTGATAAGACAGTTTTTACCATTTACACATAAAATACCATTCAAATTTTGGAATAATTAGGATTTTTCAACATTTAAAAAAAAAAAAAAAAAAAGCCTCGTGTTCACCAAGGCTGCGCTTATTTATTAAAAAAACTATTCTAATATATTTTAAAATGTAACTAATTCTTTTGTTTCAAAGCTGAATTTTCAGCATCATTACTCCAGTCGTCAGTGTCAGAAATCATTCTAATATGCTGATTTGCTTCTCATTTATTATTATCATCAATGTTGAAGACAGTTGTGTTGCACAATATTTTTTGTGGAAACCATGTTACGTTTTTTGTTACAGGATTCCTTGATGAATAGAAAGTTCAAATGAACAGCATTTATGTAAAATAGAAATCTTTTGTAACATTATAAATACTGTCACTTTTTTGGACCATTATATTTATAGATATATTATATTTAACCAATCCTTGCCGATTAAAAGTAGCAACTTCTTTCAAAAAAAAAAAAAATAATAATCTTATTGACCCCAAACTTCTGAATGGTAGTATACATACACATAAATATCTGAGTGTATTGTATAACTCACTTGATGCTGTCGGTGTGTGTTTTATACTCCATAATGGTATTAGGAGGCAGGTTGAGGACTCTGCGTAAAGTGTCTCTAATGCGAGCAGTGGTGGCCTGGTCACTGGCCGTCTTATTCCAGATAGAAATGATATCCTCCTTCAATCAAAAGCACACATTTTCATTACAATACAGAAAAACTATTGTTTACATTATAATAGCTCCACTTATGAACACAAAACGAGCTGTCAATTTTCTTAATGAACAACTGCCATACTGCTTACTGCAAATGACACTGTTTTCGATATGCTATTTTATAAAATAATATTTAGCAAATAGTAGGTTTTATTTGCATGCTATAAAAGAAACAAACTATATTGCAGGAAATATTGCAGTACCTGGAAGCGAACGGACACAACGGCCCCACAGATCTCCTCGCCCACCATGAACTGCTCGCCAAGCATGGCCAAAATCAGATTCTCCCAGCAGCGTGACACCAGGCCTTTACGAAGCCGGATGATCCATTTACCTCCACTCTTATTAGCATCATCCTATAATGCAATACAATACAAATTCTATTATCTGTCATTAGGAAAAGAAGCATACATACATTTGAACTAACAATCTTCACCTCCCACATGGGTTTGATTCCTTCCTTAAACAGGTGGAAATCGCTGTGACCAGTCAGATCACCCGGTCGGATCATGTGACTATAAAAACGCCAGAACTGCTCCACCTACAAACACAGGGTAGCTGTTGAACTGTCAATCATGTGATCATGTGACCTACAGTAACGCAGTCTAACTTCATCCCCCACTGTGCCTGTGTTTGAATCTTCAGTACGCGAGTCTGAATAAATATGTCAGTGTGAGTTTGTGTGTCTGTAGGTTACCGAAGCAAAGCTGCCGATCTGTTTAATGTTCTGTTCGTAGCTCTGTGTGCTGGCTGGCCGTCCTGGTGTGCGACGAGAATACCAGAACGAGTAGTTGTACTGAAGAGGGTGCTCACCGGCCCCTGGGACCGCCGCCTGAAGATATAGAGCAGCTCATAGTTATATGGAACAATCTATTATAATTTACACATGATTTCTTTTGGTCTGTCTATTCATTCAGTTTAAGTGATCTATCTATCTATACCTTTCTCTTGGTAGTGTTTGAGTCCTTCTCCTCTTCGTCATTTTTTTCCTTCTCCCCGTCTTTCGGTGAGCTGTTGTCCTGGTCGTGATCTCCACTGTCGTCATCTTTCAGGCTTAAAAGAAGGCAAAACTGTCAATTCCACTCAGCCACAATATGCTATATTTATCACTGTGGCTTCAATCAGGGAAATAATATTTGCAGTGGCAATTATACAAAAAAGAAAAAAAAAATCAAAACCATGTGTGACATAAAATCTTCTGCTCATCAAGGCTGCATACATTTGATCAAAAATACAGTATGGTCAAATTTTATTACAATTTAAAAAACAACAACATTTCCCACTTAAATGTATTTTAAAATGTACTTTATTCCTGTGAAGGCAAAGCTGAATTTTTAGCAGTCATTGTTCCAGTCTTCAGTGTCATATACGATCCTTCAGAAATCATTCTAATATGCTGATTTGCTGCTAAAAAATTTCTTATTATTATGTTAAAACTGTTTTTGCTCTTCAACTGAAGACTAAAGAATTCAGATATCCCATCAAAGGAATAAAATATCTTCAAATAGAAATCCATTCTTTTAAATTGTTATATTTCAATATATAATATTTCTACTGTATTTTGATCAAATACATGCAGCTTTGGTGAGATTCGTAGACGTCTTTTAAAAACACTGAAAAATCGTGATTTTTTAAAATTATTTACTAACCAATTACCACTGTACATATAAAAAAAACATTAACAGAAAGAGTACATTCAGTACGTTTTATGTTAGTGCCATTTTATACATTAGCTTTATAGATAGGCATATATGTTAAATTAGGTAATACAAGTAGCTTTACAATGCACGCTTTTTTCAGTACCATGTTATACACTTTCATGATAGTACCACTGCCACGCACTTTTTGTAAGGGTAAGTTAATTACATTTCTGAGGATTGTTATAAAGGATGTTGTTATAAAATTCGACTTTATTACGGAAAGGAAAGAGGCCCTGTCTGAGTCTGCAGAGACAGACTGCACTACCTTATTTGACCCTGCGCTTATAATGGTCAGCGGTTGCGCACGAGAGGTTTGCAAACATAATGTAACACATGATTATACAGTAGTTTCGTTTCCACGTGCCATGTACAGTATAGCGTGTTTCGCTTCTGCACAACCCCTCGCGTGTTTATAACCAGCCTACACCGACACATGTCACTCCAGCAGGCTGCAGAGGAGAGTTGGAGCCCGGGTCGCAGAGCACCTGCCCCCGCTGCTCACACACACGCGTAACCGGTGATCCGTCCTCGGCCTGGAGGCCCTGCGCATGCAGATCTGGGTCCAGAAGCGGTCATTTGCATGCTGCATTCACCGCATGCATTAAAACATGATACATCACAAAATCTTATAAGTCCAATCATGCAACTAAACATGGTGACCACCCAACCCATGCCAAAGCTTCTAGACACACCTCTTTTCCTCCCCTCTTTCTCTCTCTCTTTTCTGTCTCTCTTGAGTTAAAGAGACGTTTGAAACGCATGCATTTACATTCACGCACGACTAATCCCTGCTAACGTGCAGCGTCGTTGTGATTACTCACGCGTCAAATTTGTTGTTCATTATTTTCTAGGTGAGTGTCTGTCTCCGCTCTCGCGCCGACGGCTGCCCCGTCAATTCCGCAGCAGCGGCGGCGCGCGCTAGTGGTGGCGGCGGGCGCGCGCATCGCACCGTTGTGGGTGAGGCGCGCGCTTGGTGGATGTTTGTATTTTGTAGCAAATAAAAGTGAGATAAACTGTTACCTTATCCTAGTCTAATAAACATGAATAGCTAATGTATAAATATTTTGGCTAAAACTCACCCATAAATGAAAAAGTAAAAAAAACCTTTATCTATGTATTTTTCTATCTCTCTCTTTCTGTGTATATACACACACATACATAGGTTCTGGAAATAGAAGACATTGTCTAATAATAAAAATTACAGCTTAACTACTTTAATAATATTGAATAAATAAATAATGAATTAAGAATTTAATGGGGTCAAGTTTTATATATATATATATATATATATATATATACATATATCTGACAAACAAATGACATGATACTTTTTTTTAAATCTCTATATATTCTGTATAGAGAGATACTATATATGATACAGTGGCATTGATATAATTTAATTTTTTTAAATTATTACGAATTTGGGGTCAAATAATGTTCAATAAGCTAAGTCACTGGGGAATAGTAGTGCTGTCAAAAGATTAATCACGAATAATTGCATCCAAAATAAAAGTTTTTGTTTACATATTATATGTGCGTGTAATGTGTATATTTATTATGTATATATAAACACACATGCATGTATATTTAATAAAAATATGTTGCTTATACAGGTGCATCTCAATAAATTAGAATGTCGTGGAAAAGTTCATTTATTTATTAAAAGAACCAAATTTCGCTTTGCAACATACATCATGTCAGGGAACAAAATCAGGAAAGAAAAATATATGCCCAGAGCACCTCCCAGTGGTCACCACATAAAACACAAAGAAAACAACCTACATGAGTCACTGCTTAATAATTTAACAGCTTTTAACAAAAGAAAAACAACAAAAAAACATAGGCCTACACAAGTCCAACAGAAAAACATTATGGTAAGATTGCTTTCCAAAAAAAAGCACTTCAGAAATAGTTGAAATGGCATTTATCAGGAATCATGCGATCTTATAAAAAAATACACCAAATTGCAAACTAAATCCAACCCTGGATATTTTATATAGTTTTGAAATTTTGAAACTCGCAACCTCATGCACAAACTAATCATGCATATCACTAACTGGCAGTATGCCTTCATCAACAGCTATATGGCAGAGAAAAAAGAGAGAAAGGGGAGAGCCGCCAGCAGCTGAATTTCGGGGCTGAAGGGGGAGTTTGGTCAAACTATGGCAGCGATACAGGGAATGGTTGAGCTAAATCAAAGACGGTGCCATCCGTGGAGCCATTATGTGCACTAAAACTTTAGTCTCCTAGCTACTATGTAAGAAGCTGCAATTCTTCAAAAAAAAATCACCTGCCACAGCAGCAAATTCAGCAGCTTTTAGATCTTGTTGGTCAGACAAACTCGATGGAGCTATACAGCTGCTGGCGCCTCTCCTCTTTCTCTCTTTTTTTCTCTGCCATAGTAGTTTTCTTTCATTCTTTTGTTAAAAGCTGTTAAATTATTAAGCAGTGACGCATGTAGGTTTTTTCTTTATGTTTTAGGTGGTGACCACTGGGAGGTGCTCTGGGCATATATCCTTCTTGGTTTTGTTCCCTGACATGATGTATGTTGCAAAGTGAAAGTAAAAGGTTCACGCAAGTTTGTTGCATCCTAACAGGAAAGAGTTTTGTGTCTTTATTTAAAATCAACACTTCTTTTATAAAGAACACCGCTTTCTCACATAACGCACTGAAGCAGCCCCTGCATAGAGAGAATAATTCATTCTCGATCCATCGATATCAACCAATTCAGCACCACCCTCATGGACAGCACCTGGTAACGTCACACGTAAGAAGGTATACCTATAAGCAACCTCCAAAGGTATAATTCAGGGAACATGCCTACAAATGGTATACCTTTATTTAAGATATACCTTTAGAGTCTTCGTAGTGCATTAAGAGGCAACGTTATCGGGAAACGCACACCAGTGACATAATATATTGTGAAAGACTTGTCTTTCATTTTCTCCAAATCTTGAAAGTAAATCCCAATGAAGGTTGACACAGACAGAGTCATGGTCGTCCTGAAGAAGAATGAATTGAAATTTTCATGCGAACTCTTAAGGAATTTTAATAATGCCTGGAGAAAAAGCAGGAATTTATCAGTGCTATAATGCATTGTGACAGACTTTGCCTTTAACTTTCTCCCAAATTCTACAGTAAAACCCAGAGAAAGTTGACACAGACAGTCTTGGGCATTCTGAAGAAGTATGATTAGAAATCTTCATGTTAACTCTGAAGGAATTTGAATAATGCCTGTATAAATATCAAGAAATAGTCAGTGCTATAATGCATTGTGACAGACTTTGCCATTCATTTTCTCTAAAATTCTACAGCAAAATCTCGTGAAAGTTGACACAGACAGAGTCTTGGTCATTCTGAAGAAGTATGAACAGAAATCGTCATGTTAACTCTGAAGGAATTTGAATAATGCCTGTATAAATATCAAGAAATAGTCAGTGCTATAATGCATTGTGACAGACTTTGCCTTTCATTTTCTCTAACATTCTACAGTAAAATCTCGTGAAAGCTGACACAGACAGAGTCTTGGGCATTCTGAAGAAGTATGAATAGAAATTTTCATGTTAACTCTGAAGGAATTTGAGTAATGTCTGTATAAATGTCAAGGAATGGTCAGTGCTATAATGCATTGTGACAGACTTTGCCATTAATTTTCTCTAAAATTCTACAGTAAATCTCGTGAAAGTTGACACAGACAGAGTCTTGGGCATTCTGAAGAAGTATGAATAGAAATTTTCATGTTAACTCTCAAGGAATTTCAGTAATGTCTGTATAAATGTCAAGGAATGGTCAGTGCTATAATGCATTGTGACAGACTTTGCCATTCATTTTCTCTAAAATTCTACAGCAAAATCTCGTGAAAGTTGACACAGACAGAGTCTTGGTCATTCTGAAGAAGTATGAATAGAAAT